TTATAATTTTTTTTTTAATATTAATTTAGATAGTAAAAATTATCCAAAGTAATGATAAATTATAATATTATTTAAGAAACAGATTATTCCTTGGATATTAAGAATGATTTCATTCGAATTTCACAAATAACTTTAAATTGAAAATTAAATCTGAACAACTGGATAAAGTAATGAACATTATCTTATAACAAAAAAAAATTCTTTACTATAAGTGCAAAGTTATATGATCTGAAATGTAATAACTAAGAATTAATAAAAAAAACCCGAAATCAAAATAGAATCGTTTTATCTAGTATAATTCACCTTTTTCAACTTCCATTAAACTTACCGAGTCTACAAATAAATATACATTGAATTCATTAAGAAATGTAGAATTTTTTATAACAGATTTCAAATTCATTTCGAGATCAAATTCTGGTACAGCGGATATTTTGTAAATCCACAATTGTTTTTATTCATACCTAAAAATTTGATAATAACTTATTCCCCAGATGATAAATAAGCACATGAACTCAATCTAAAATTTCCTGATGCATATACCTCCAAAGCTTCCGACACAATGGTTTTTCAATAATAATATAAAATTCAAAAAAATAACCTCATGTTCTTGCACAAATAAGTACATTTTTCATATATAATGATCATTACTTTATGTCGATAAACATTAGCCGAATAATTTTTAATGGAGTGTCAAAGGTTTCAACTTTAACAGTGATAAACACGCTATCAATTATCCATTTCTCAAAAGTTTCAAAGGGATTAGTTACACCATTAGAAATCTGAGTTGTTTCTAATGGCATTATGCCGAAAACATCGTATTCTGGGGTTGCAAAATGGATTTTTATTTCATGTGAAAAAGATGCAGATAATCGATACGGAAGAATATGAAGAATATTATCTTCTGTTAATGGATTTATAATTATTTTTCTAAGTAATTTTTTGAACATTTCTCGTAATAAATTTTGAATATTAAGTAATCTGCCGCATTAAAAAGATTATCTTTGATTAAGGTTCCTCCGAAAAAAATAATTTTGAAAATTTTTGTCTATTCATAATTCAGAGTCATCCCCCGTCAATCTGTAAACACTTCAGACCTTGCCGCTAAAATTTGCTTTGCAACCCGTATAATTTCTTTTTATTCTCACATATTTTGCCTTTGGTTATTAAAAAAGAATTTCAATCTATGTTTGAATGATTATTCTCTATACTATCTTTTAAGGAAACGAAACAAACGAGACGAGTTATTTCTCAGGAAGGAATTCAATAAATTAACCATTTAAGGAAATAATGCAACATAAACATTTTGCTGCGCTTTTCAAAATCATTTAATGCATAAAAATTTGTGCTCGTACAGGTTTCCCGTTACCATCAAGAATAGTTTTTAGAATTTCCTACGGTTTTCATGAAAAAATGTCAAAGTCCTTAACTGATAAAAATTTTTTAAAATGCTCAATGGCCTGCTTTAAATTGTCGGAACTTCACCGTTTTATCATTGGAAACCATGAAAAAATATTTAAAGTTATTCAAATAGATTGTGGTATGATTAAATACTATTAGGATTTTGCTGAGACTTTGGAAATTTAATGTAAAAAAGGAAATTTTTATTAAACCCATTTTTTTTAATGCACAGTATCATTTCAGGATAAATTAAAAAAATTAATTATTTCTCGACAAAAAACAAGAAATGATTTTCGAAATATTATTGGGGAATATTTTTTTTGTCCAATGTTAATCACCTACCATCTATCAAATTTATATATGCCTTCCTAGAGTAAAATCAAGAAATTGTATTGTCAAGGTCGGCTTAACTTTACCAAAATGGTAAAAATCAATAGGATCCTTAAAATGATTTGTGTTTAAAGTAAATTTTTCTTTAGAATTCTTTAACAGGGTCCCTGAATTCCCTGAATTTCTTTATACCAAAAATACTGGTTATCACATGAAACATGATTTGTATGACAATCTTTTATAAAAGATGAAACACGTTTCACAATATCGTTATTTTCGCGCTCAAACAAAGGGAACAGACCAGACAAGGTACCTTAATTGCAAACAGGTTTTGTTATGCGGAAAATTAAACGTGTCAATTTAACGTTAATAATATCAATGCGTATACGCTCTTCTCGTTCTACTGGATACCTGCATTATTAATTTTCGCAATACATATTAAAAAAAATGTTTCGATAAACCCCATTCTCTTTTGTTGTAGATCTTTTATTATTATTTCTCCAAATAAGTAATTAATTTTTAACAGACATGCGATTTCAAGGAGGTAATGACGATATCTTTTTGCCAAATGGATCTCTTTTCATATCATTGGTTTTTGCACATGTGGGATGAAATACATAATTGTTGGATTTTTCATATGATGCGCAGTAATGAAAAAATGACAGCTTCGCACTCACGCCACTATAACACAACAGATTTCATTGAAAAAAAAAATATCTATTGTTTTTTTTAATTTAATAAAATCTTTATAATATAAATTAATTTTTAGATATAAAAAGCCCAAGAAGATATGTTTATTTCGAGTTTTTTTTCACTTTCATTGAAATATTTAATTGTGCATTTTTAGAAATTGTGACAAATAATTTTCTGATATAATGAATTCAATTCTAGCTGTGTTTTGTTGTATCTTAATATTGGGTAAAGCATCAAATTATCATTGAAGACATTTAACTCGTCTGTCCTTCTACTAATTATTTTATTACCATTTTACATTTATAGCATTCAAGATTCCACTTGTATTTCTCGTATATTTCGTATCTCTTTTCATTAAAAAAGGACATGAGCCACCAACTTTATTTCAACATTTAGTTGCCGTCATCATGAGGACAATCACAACTTACTTTCCAAATTGGCTATTAAGAATCGTGTTTAATTCCAGTGCAGCTTTAGAACAGGTTTTATATGGTCTCTATCAGGAAAAACAACAAAAACATTGGGTAAAGAAATTGGAAGCGACGAACGAAAAAGATGGATGGGAGGGTTACCTAATCGCTGATAATGTTGAAAATTCTGAAATTGGAAAAAATGTTGATTCGGTTATTTTATACGCTCATGGTGAGTAAGGTGATCAAGAGAAAGTTCTTTAGAAAGGATTCTCTGCGCCGTTTTGTATGTAGTACTGACGATTATTTCTTTTTATAAAACAGGCGGGGGCTATGTTTGCGGTGGCGCTTTAACAACCTTGGTTACATTCGTCAATTGGATCAAGGAATGGAAGATAAGTCATGGTGTCAACACACAGATCTTATCTCTAGAATACGGTAAGCTAATTATATCTTTTTATATATATATAATCAAACACCAAGGGATTTATCATATCAAACTTGTTTATCAGGGTTATCACCCGAGAATTCGATCCCGGTTGCTAGGGAAAATATGTTATCATGTTATCAATGGCTTGTCAACGAGAAAGGAATTAGTCCAACTAAAATCATTTTCGGTATGTCAAATCTTTTTATTTATTATTTTATTTTGTTACTATGTGATAAATCTTTGATATTAAAAAAACAAAAAACTTTTTTAGCTGGTGATAGTGCGGGTGGAAATTTGGCTCTAGTAAGTGCCTTACAACTTATTAATCAACCATACAGTTATTCAATCGAACTGCCTTCCGCTCTTCTCCTCATATCTCCGTTCTTATCCGTAAGTAAAAGAAATAAAAATATATATTTCAAATCCCTCATCTTTCTTATCTTTATTAAAAATCTTTCATCCTCTTTGAATAATATCTCAGGCCGTAACAAATACGCAATCATACCATAACAATGCTTCTTACGATATAATTAATGCGACCTGGATACATAGTTGCGTAGATGCATATTTAGGTGACTCAAATCTACTTCCAACTTGTCCGATGGTTTCTCCGCTATTTGAAAATCAACTTTCAGAATTGCCCAGAGTATGTGCTTTCGTAGGTGGTTATGAATTATTCTTGGATGATATTACATTATTTGTAGAAAAATTAATGATGAAAGAAGTTAAGGTAGAATACTTTATAGAGGATAATAATTTCCATGGTTATGCGATGTCCAAATTATTAAGTAGAGGTAGCGCATATGAGAATTCCGTCAAGTATATGGGCAAATTCTTGTTCGGTGAAAATAATGTCAAGGAATCGATATCCAAAAAGTAATTTTATATAATCTTTAGAAAATTAATTATAGATTTTATTTTATTTCTTTAATCACCAAAAGTACTTTATTTTATACACATTAGATTATCAAAAAAAAGAATTTATACACATATATTATTACACACATCATTATAAAATTCATTAATTATTATCATTATTATATCAAACCTAAAAAATAAAATCATTTATCCCCATCTTAAAATTTCGATGACCTTTTTAAGCATAAGCCACAGTTTCATAAAATGATATCTGTTTTGTTAACATGAATACGATCAAGTATAAGCAAATTTTTCCTGCTCTTTCAATAAAGATACTAAAATTTTTGATCAAGATAATGCGTAGAATGATCGTGTAACAAAATTATATTTGAAAAATTGAGTTTATTTAATATTTTCACACATCTTGTGGTTAAAGGATTTAACGTAAAACGGAAATAATATGTTGACATTCAAACAAAATTGATTTCTTGATTTCTCTTAATTCTTTTGTGAAATCTCTTGTTTGCTTTTTCCCAATGACCTTGTAGATTTCCCAAATAATGAATCAATTTTTTAACTTTAACTTCAATATAAAAAATGTAACAACAACATAAAAAAGGTCAAATAAAAATAATAAAATGCAAATCATAGATTGTTCCCGTAATCTGAGTATTCGTATAATCAAAAAATTAACTAAATTTGCTCATTGAAAAACTGGCTAAATGAGATTTCAAGATGGCTTTTACAACTTTAATAATAACGGGAATAATAGGATTCGTAGATTGAAAACAAGTTCTGACGCATATATAATCCCCAATTTGCTATTATATAAATTTTTCAAGAATATAATCCTCTTTATCATTTTGAAAGTTTTTTAAATCATGAGTTTTATTAGAAATGTTGTGATAAAGGTGAGCAATATAAAGATGACATCGAAAAGGATGCAACTTTGTTTGTAAATTATAACGACATTTACATTAATTGTAGCCGGCAACTTTTTTTTTTTGATAGTGGAAAAGAATTAGCGAATCAAAATCAACGGTTTCGTTCGTTCTTGTCTCCATAATTCAAGCTCTAATTTTAATTTACCTTCAATTTCGTATAATGGAACGCAATCAAGAAAGTGTTGATATCATAATGGAACTAAATGAAACTAACCAATTAACTGAATATTGTTATAACGACAATGGTCCATTCCTTTCATTTTATATGATTTTTCTGGAAAATGTTATGTTCATTTTGTTTTATTTGTTTCAATTATACTTCTGTTTCAACGCGGTAATTAATATCCGGGAAACCATGTTTTTTTCTCGTCTTTAATGAAATCGGTTCCATTATAAGAAATAACATCCCTGTTTTAATTAAATAGATCTTCCATCAGAATACGATGCAAATTATTACCATCGCATTGATAAATTTTGCATTCGTCTTAATTGGCATTGTAAAAAATTTTTATTTTATTTTTTTTTTATTTACAACCGTACGAAATGATCATTTAAATTCAAAAATTCTTGATTCCCTCGCGTGAAAATTTCCTTATAGATACAAGCTATTGAAGTTAAAACTTTAGATAGCAAACTTGAAAAAGACTGTCCCGAACTTCAATTTGTTCCAGAAATTATGAAATATGAATTACCATTCATTTTAGCCGAGTTAATATTAGGAATTCTCATGGGATATTTATCATTAAATTTATATCGTGAATTCGGTTGGAATATTTATAAAAAGGTTGGAAGTGACATCTCAATGCAAAGTAAGTTCCAAAAATTGCTTATTAAGCTCTGATGAATTTTTATTAACTGTAATTTTTATTTTAATTTTGTTATTTTTTTTTGTAGAAATATATAGAACTCGACTTATATTTGCAATGCTTTTAAAATTGGATTTGTTTATCATGATATTATTTTCGGGATTAGTTGCACCGTCGTTTTATATAACGTATAAATCTAAAAGTATATTTCAAAGGTTTCTAACATTAGTTAGTTCTGTTATTTTGATCTTGGTATTTTTCTTTGAAGTAATAGCATATAGATCGGTGAGTGATTTCGCAAAAATGCGAAAATTTTTTTTTTTTTTAACAAGAAATGATTTCTCCATTATCTTGTTTAGATCGAAACGGAATGGAAAACCGGAATTAATTTGTTTATAATTTTTTGGATATTTGCCTTGTCAAATTTCGCTGCCTTAAGTTATGAGGTAATAAGCGTGTCAGTGATGACTAATTGGTATATCGGATTCATTGTTGGTAAGATTGATTTTTTTTTTTCTTTTTTTTTTTTTGATATAAATTAATCTTTAGTTTGATATAGGAATTATTTGTTCGTCGTTTGCATTGGTAAGTTACGATGATGATTATTTTTTTTTCAAAAAAATTAACTTATACGATACGTAATGCAAATTCATCTTGAATCATTTTTTTTTTTAGGGAACATTTATAATTTCTATATATGTTCGCAGAGGTTTTGGACGTGGGTTAAAAGGATATCGTAAGTACATGTAATACTATTATTTTTTTTTTTTAACTTCAAAGTGAAACTTACCACATTTATAAACCCTTAGTTGATAAAGAAAGGAATGAGAGAAAACGAAAGGTTTCTGGTTCAAAATATCATGCGAAAACATTTGACGATATTGAAAATTAAGGTGCAAAAAAAAAAAAACGTGAAAAGGGGAGTTTTGTCCTATTGTAGTTTTTTTTTCATTTCTTATCATGTATTTATTGAATTGATGATGACCCTAAATATGAAAATTAAATAATTAAATAGATTTTCTTTATTTCTTTAATATTCCCATATCATTATTTTTAAAAAAAAAAAAGATGATCATAAATAACATTTTAATTTATAAATTATACATCTAAACCCAATTCTATCAATCATTTATTTCTTCGACTACCAACTTCTATATCACGTTTGTCATTGCTATTATAAAATTCTTCATTTTCATTAAATCCAATCTTATCAACTATTCAAAAAAAAATATATTTAAGTAAAATTTACATGATTTTAGATTAATATAAAAAAAAAAACTTACGGTGTTCCTTTAATCCTTTCCCGAAATTTCTCATAACCACTATTCCAATTATAAAGGTCAACTATAAAAAAATATTACATAAAAAAATTAGAATATTAAATAAAGGCATGAGGTTCATATTCATGATCAGGATTTTTACTTACCATGCCCATAAGTAAACAGGAAACGCCTTAAAAAACGAGTAGAGTTTTAGTTGATGAATTTGAGAATGATGTCATCCAAGGATATAAATTATTAATTAACTTACCAAAGATCGAACCAATATACCATTTATAGATGGACGCCAAAGAAAATCCGATATAACAAAACCATACATAAGTTATCATAACAAGAATCCAAAATGATAAAAATGCAAGCATTCCGCCTTTATTTTCTTTCGCAATCTATTTCAACAAGGGGATAAGAGTTAACTACAGACAAATGTATTAAGAATTACATCAATCATTGCTTACCGCTTTAAAAGCCACAGATTCAAATAAAAACACCAGAGCAAAAAACGTAATACCCATATAAATTATCCCTTTATAGGAGGCACCAGTACTAGTAAATTCAACCATATAATAAGGTATAATTAAGATACTGAATAATAACATCATCAACAAGTCAAGTTTTAATAACATTACAAAAATTAAACGAGCTTTATATATTGCTAATGATCATAAAAGGTCTAATTAGTCATTGATGGAGATTTTATCAAAGATTTATCCTTGAGACGTAAATAGACCAACTTACATTGCATTTTAACATCCGTACCAATTTTTTGGTAAATGTTCCAACCAAATTGTTGATATAACTTAAATGATAGATATCCCGTGATACATGCTAAAACCGTCGTTAGTATAATATGTGGAACTTCATGTATCATAAATTCAGGATCCATAACTATCGTGGGGCATTCATTTAAAACTCGATTACTTGTTTCTCTGGCTTCAAGTAATTGGACCTTAAATGTGAGAGAAGGATTTTTACTGTTAATTAGCGTTTCGAATCACGTGAAATAATTTGCTGCGGTATAAAATTGTGCTTACAACTCCAAGAACTGCGTAGCAAAAATTAGTTAATGCAATCGTGAAAATTTGCATCGTATTTTGGTGTAATATCTAAAAAAAAAATACATATATAAAAAAAAGAAGTCATTTAGGATACCCATCAAAAAAGGGAATAATGGAAAATAAAATAAAATAAAATAAAAGCAAGGTACATTACCGCATTGAAACTAAAATACAATTGAAATAAATAAAAGCAAATAAACATAACATTTTCAAATGCAAGTAAAACAAATGCTTTGAAGGAAGCCGAACTTAGGCAAACTTCGGCTTCTGTATAATCCGGATGAAGATGAAACCACCCATAAATATTACGAGCGAAAATACTTGATTGTAAATATACTAATGCAATTGCTTGGACTGTTGATATTAAGGTAAATAATGTTGTGGACTTCGATTTGGTCAATATATCCCACTAAAAAAAAAGAACCAAAAAAGAGAGATTAGATAAGTGAAAAAAAAAACGTAAAAAATTTTTTAGAATTATTTTGAGCACCTTTTTCCTAATATTGCATTTACTCATATTTAGGTAATTTTTATGTATCAATTTGAACGTTAATTATGATTCTTATAAATAAATAAATTTTTTTTTTCATTAAATTTTTTTTTTTTAAAACATAAATTTTCTTTTCAAGAGAAGTTCTTTAAAAAGTAAAAATGAAACGATTTTTAATTACCCATTTATATATTTATTCCAAATAGATTAGATTAAATGCAATGCACGATGCCGATCGGCAATTTTTAGAAACTTATTGTGCTCAAATTTCTTGGCGATTTTATAACGGATTCAAATCTTGTATTGAATCAAAAATTTAGATTTCCTCCTTTCTCTATCCAAAACATAAAATAAAATATTTCTGATGTTTTTTTTTTAAAAAAAATAATTCGATTTAAATCGGTTTTGCACAGGTTTTCGCTTTTCGCTTCGACAAAAATGGAAATGTTTAATTTTACACTTGTACAACCCAAATGTAAATATTGTCAATCTTTCCTTTTTCCTTTTACCGATTATTGAAACAATAAACAACCATTCAAATAATGGATAAAAAAAAAATTGATTTTAAAGTTGACCAATATCAAAAGTTATGAAGTAGTTAATTGAATTCTTAAGAAGCCCAACATTAATTTTGAATAAATCGGAAAAATTGATCTGTAATCGAATAATAAAAATACTAGGTGGTAAAGGTCATAATAATGATAAATACCTCGTTTCTTTATAAATACTCTGAGGTAAAAGACAATTTCTTTTTGCCGACATTACCATGAAAGGCTCTGGAACGCTATTACCTTGATGACATAATTACTTGAAGTAGAGGTTGGAACCGGTTAATATATTTAATCTTAACTCTGGACAAAATTTAATTTTCGGGCAGAATTAAAATTTTTGTGATTACAACATTTCGCTAGTTTTGCCCAAATTTATAGTGCCGGCCTGAGTTAAATTTAACCGATTAATTAACCGGTTAAAGTCGGTTAAGGATTTTGGGCCGGTTAAAAAAAATCTTTAACCGGTTAACAAGATAACGTCTTAACCGATTAATTACCCGGTTAAAAATTAACCGGTTCCTACCTCTAACTTGAAGAACAGATTCCGCGAGCTTTCTTTAAATTTTTTAATAATATTGCGAAAAAAAAAGGCCGTTATATATGTATGTGCACCAACTCATTTATTTTTTGTTTTAAGTCCTAATTAATTATGGAGCACTAGCTAATAACATAAATGTAAAAAAAGTAAAGTAATTTGATAAAAAATATGACTTATCAGATGAAATATTTGTGTCAATATCTCATACTCTCTTCAGTTTCTCAAAATGGGAACAGATGATGGTGAAGGTGATAGAAATTACCAAATTCAGATAGTGCTAATTAATTCTGAAGTTTTATAATCTTTGATTAAATCATTATTTATTAAATAATAACTAAATAATTTAATTAGCTTTTAAAAACGAATTAAAAGATTCAACTTAAGATATTAATTTATGTATTTATTTTCTAATATATTTTTAATTTATCGTTATATTTATAAAAAGCAAAGTTTAAAATATAAAGATAATATAAATTTAATATAAGAAACTTGATTAAATTATTTTTATATAATTTATTTTTAGAACCAATTAAAACCAAAAGTATTACTTTTTATAAAAAAATCTTTTGTAATTATTAAATAAAATAGTATTTCTATTTAATAAATTACTTGTTACTTCTAAATTTAATAACTTTAATATTCATATATTGTAAATTTTTAGCTTTGCAATGTTATTTTTTTATCATTTATAATTTAAATAACTGATAAAATTCTTATTTACATTTACTTGATAAATAATTTTAATTCCAAAGAAAATAATAAATAAATTGTTTGATAAAAAAATATATTAAATATTTTAATAATATAAAAACAAATAACAACTAGTGAGATTTTAATAAATATAGTATAATTTTTTAATGTACGTCATTAATTAATAATTTATTTGATATTGTTATAAATTTGTATTATTTGATAAATAATAATATATATATCAAATCTTTCAAAAATTTATAAATATCAAATTTATACTCGGATAAATTATATATATATACCTATATAATAGAAAACGAAATTATTTAAGGTTAATCTTAAAATTCATTTAAACCAACCACGATCGACGACTGTATCAATTTTCATATGATTTTAAAGCCAGTTATATTCTGATTCTGGGGATATCTGATCAATTTTTTTTGGGGAACGTACATTGAGCAAAAAATTTAGCTGATTGTTGTTTCGGAAGATCATATTTTTACTTTGTATTAATTCTTCTCTTGATCCAGCATAGTCAGAAATTACCTAGTTCTAAGGTGGTAACTTTTAAGTTGCTAATCCTACGAAGTTAGCTTTCGCGAATTCTGAAGTCTTTAATCGATCGAATGACAGGTTATGAAGTAGCCAAGGATTACACAAACCAATTTGTTATTCAAAGGAATTATGGTAAAGATTTAAATTGAATTTGAATTTGATTGTTGTCCATAAATTATTTTAAAAAAGAAAAATTATTGTTCTTTTTGATTGACTATTTTCAAATGAATTTTTCTTTCTCACTATTGATCATCATCAACATTGACCAAATTGGCGAATTTTAATTCCGTTTTATTTTTAGGGCGTAGATTAGCCATGATAAAGACATATAAATAGAATTCATTCAATAAGAATTTCTAGATTTTTCCCATAATTTTTTTTTTGTGAATTTTGTGAATTCTAAATATATCATTATTCGAATAATTTTAAGCTTATACATTATAATATATAAGTATATAAGTATACATTATCAAATTAATCAATTGGGCGTCCTTTTTTTTTTACTCGACGATAAAAAAATTATTGTACAATTACATCATTCTGATGCAGATAAAATAAAATTTCGTGGGAGTATATAAAGTCTAAGAAGTCGTCGAGGCGTTTTATTTTATATCCAAATTAAACAAAAAGCAAAAAAAAAAAACAATTTCTTCAAATTTTCTATAAACAGCAAAACATAAATGGCCCCATTTCAAACGCTTGATCATCATACAGGTAAGGTTTTCTTTTGATTTTATGAGATTCATTAAGAAAATTAATGAACTTTGTTTTATTATGATAGATGATGCATTGGAATGCGAAACAAAATATACGCTCAACGAAAAAACTTGGGCAGAAATCATTGCTTTATGCCAAGAAAGGGGTAAATTTAAAGAGTTTTTTTTAAAAAAAAAATATATATATATGTACATTAACGATTTATTTTCTAATATTTAGGATTAAACGCAGAAGGAGATAAAGCCTCTTTGATAAAAGTATTATGGGATTGGGTAAAAATTTATATTCAAAATATTCAAAATAATATCAATTATAGGAAACTGAATAAACATATTTTTATTTCTAGAAACAAAATACGCGACCAGTACCTGCGCCTTCTACGCCACGTCTCTTCTCAGCTGATGAGTCGAGTAGCCCAAGACAAAACAAAATTAACTCGGTATATATATCATCATTTTTTCTTGATGATGATACAAGCGAAATTAAATATGAAGATTTAGAAGTTGGTAGTAAATTGGGATCTGGAGGTTTTAAAGATTGTTTTGCAGGAAAATATAAAGGGGTAAATACTTGAGAACTCTTAATGGTGCAAGATTGGATTGTACAATAATTACTCACCTCAAGCGGGAATTTTATTTAGGAACTTGTCGCGATTGGAGAGCTTCGCTCAACTAATTTTAGTGAAACAGACTTAAAAGAAATAAGACACGAAATTAATGTCCTCAAGTAAGTGTACACAATGGATTGGAATCATACATAATCTTTTAATAAAGCTAATAAATTCCAACAATTTTTCAACAGGCAATTACGTCACGAGAATATTGTCCAATTCTTAGGAGTGTGCTCTAATACTAAACATTTATGCATTGTAACTGAACTATGTGAACATGGTGATATGTTTGATTACATGAGAAGAGTTCCAAGACCATCTTTTAGTCAACAGGTTTGTAAATGACAATATATATATATATATATCTCTTTTCAAGGTACTTTTTTGTCTGATTTTTAAAATTTTTTTAAAGATAAACTTAATGCACGACATTTCACTTGGTGTAACATATTTACATACTCGTCGTCCAAGCATTATTCATAGAGTAAGTCATTGTATTTATTTAATAATTTAGTTATTTAATGGATGATTGTCGTTGTTTTAACTTTGCGTGTTTAATTTAGGATATGAAATCTATGAACATATTGGTACGCAAATTTTCCTCAATAATATTGAATCTATTTTCGCAAATATACCAATAAGTAGTTTTTTTTCTTTAGATATCTTCCGATTTACGAGCAAAAATCAATGATTTTGGATTAGCGCGAATTAGGCCAAGAGCGAATGCAAGTATTCACACTCAATGCGGTACTCCAAATTGGCAAGCACCAGAATTTTGGACTTCGAATCCAAGTTATTCTGAAAAGGTATTGTATGATTAATTTCTCTGAAAACTTTTTTTCGAAATAATTTTTGATAACACTGATATTTTAGGTTGATGTATATGCTTGCGGGCTCATTTTCTGGGAAATTATGACATGGGGAGAAGCTGGATATCCTTATCAAAATTATTCAGAACATCAATTATATGAAGCTGTTAGAGATAAAAATGTTCGTCCTCCGATAGATAATTTAAGGAATTACCCAGTTACACTCCTTAAACTAGTTGAATCTATGTGGCAAAAAGATCCAAAAGCGGTAAATACACAAAGTTTTTGTAATTTATGTTATATTCAGTACTGACAAATTTCTCCACCTTTAGCGACCATCTATGAGTAACGTGGTTGATTCACTTGTCGAATATTTGAGTTAAGTCGATTAGAAAAATCCTGATAAACAAAATATGTGGAATATTCCGTTCCAGCTTTATTAAATTTTCATGATTCTAAAATTTATACTCATGAGAGAGAAATCTAAGCAAAAAAAAGGGACTACGGTTCCTATTAATGATCAGCGTAACGACGTAAAAAAAAAAAATCATTTATATGGATGGATGAAAAAGTTTTCGTTACCTCGGAACTGTCAACTCTCTTCTTTGATATAATCTTTACACCTTTAACATCCATTACTCATTATAACATATCATATCATTTTGCACATTTGCATTTAATTTAATTAAGTTATTAGTTAGCTTTTTTATGTTTAAAGAATGTAAATTTTTTTTTTTTTTTCGTTTATATTTATAAATTTATTGATGTTTATATTGTTTGTAAATTAAATTGTATTAATTAACCTTCACAATAAATTTCGCGCGTCATTGACGCGTTTTTCCATGAAAAAAAAAAAAACCATGCAATCTTTTTATTTAAGTTATAAAATATTGGTATAATAAGCAAATTGTGACATTATAATAAAATGTTGCATATAAATATAATCATAGTATACAGTACAACTTTAAGTTATAATTAGATATCAAATTGTTTGTCTCATTTTCTTTTGATTAATAAATAACCTTATAAATCTTGTTAAAAGGCTAAAATTCGGTTCATATACAAGGAGTGGAGATTAACAAATCTTGATATGGCATTCTCAACTAGTAAATCCTAATTTTAAGGTAGCTTTTTAAAAATGAATTGAAGCAATTCATTTTTAATAATTGAATGGGCTTTTTTACATGGAATTACTTTAAAAAAATATATTCCGATATTATTTCTTATGTGGTGCTTTCTATTGATGAAATTTTTTTTTTATAGCTGTAAAATTCTATTTGTAATGACCAATCGTCTCATCTAAAACGTCTTCTTGGATTTAACGCAACTTTCTCTCTATTCAGACTCATACCAAAACCTTCTTTGAATCACACATTATAGAATGATTTTAAAGACACGCTTCTATTAGATTATTGATTGATTACCAAACCATGAAACTTTTTTTAAAGGAGAATTGGGAGCCTACATATTGGGATAGGATGCAAATACTAATATGACCGAAAAATCTTTTGAAGTTTAATTCTCAAAGGTGAAAGACGATCTTATCTTTTTTTTTTTTTAAAAAAAAAAAAACGCGGTTTCATTAGCCAGATAGAATAAAGAAAAGTTAATAAATTCTGTTCCCGGTGTTCCCATATACTTGGATTCTCTGAAACAACAAATATTATTCGAACAACCGGATTATAATTCTATTTCAAACGTTAAAAATCAATGAAATGGTTAAAAAGGAATTGAAAAAGAAAATAATTCGGTAATTCCATTTAAAGTTCTTTTTAAAAATTATCATTAATGATCTGCCAAAAATTAATCGGAATACCAAATGAGAGATAGATCGAAAAAAATAAATAAATAAATAAATAAAGGGAAAATTTAATATGTATTTTCATATACAATTATTTATTTTTTCATATTAAAACTGAAATAAAGTAAAATATCATTTTATAAAACAAAAAATAAAAAAAAGATGTTACATCATAAATCAATTTTGCGTCTTTTTTATTTTCATGTCTTAATATTAGGAATTTACATTATTGGAGTTAAGTCTTTAAATCCCGCTGGACGATTAGCTCATTCATCAGTTCTTGTAGGATCTAAACTTTACATTTTCGGTGGTTATGCCATCTTTTTTACCTCAGATGAAGCACTTTATATTGATTTGACAGAACCATTTGATGCAACCGCTCCACCATGGGGTGTTTCATCACCTATTCCAGTGAGAAACTCATGGACAACTACTACCCTAGCTAATGACAGTATTTATCTATTTGGTGGAATTATGCGAGACGTAGAAGATAGTGAAATTACATTATCATCTTTTACATATAGATTTAATACAAATTCGGAACAATGGGATGTTCCTGTGATTAAAGGAATTGAACCAGCAAAACGAAGGAACATGAAAGCTGTTGTTGATGATACTGGAAAGATTTATCTTTTTGGCGGGTTCACCGATCAATTAACTGGTTCAGATACCGCTCGCATTCTTTATGATCTTATAACATTTAATACAAATGAATTAACCTTTGAATCGGTGAAGGCTCCTATACGACGAGATCATTATACTGCGACAATATTACCGGATGGTAAGATCGTTTTTATTGGAGGTCGAGAAAAAAATGCTGAAGGTATACTTGAAGCAGACATTAATCGAATTATCCTTTATGATACAAAGGAAGCGACTTGGTCAGCGATGGTAAGTAATGTACATTATTATTACAATTGAATTTTTTTATTAAAAAATTTATTTACAATTTATTTGATGTAAATTAAGCATGCAAAAAGCACAGATCGAATCGATTCTCGTTATTTACACTCTGCTGTATTTGGTACGAAACATTTTTTTTATTTTATTTTATTTTAAAAAAAAAAAAAAAAAAAGAAATTGTGATGTTCTTTTTTCTTTTTATTATGGATTAAATTAATTATTTATTTATTTATAAAAAATAAAGCTCCCGGCAACCGAATTATTATTTGTGGTGGTTCCAGAGCCAATTTGGCAGAAAAAAATTTCCGGGTTACTCCAGACATAGCCGTTTTAAACACTCAAAGGATCCCCTTTGAATGGACTGTCCCAAAAGTGTCCTCAAATATTGATAAATTTCCTTCACTTGCAGCTCACACAGCAAATCTAGTTGGATATTATATGATCGTTGCTTTTGGTAAATTATTTTTTATTTAACAAAGAAAAAAAAAAGAGGTCTATATAATCATTAATATAACCATTTTTAATTATATAGGAAATCTTACTTTACCAGATGCTCCCCCAGAGGACCTCTCTTCAAGTATTTATTTGTTGGATATTAGAAACTATACTTGGGTTAATACATTTGAACCTCTTTCGGCACAATCTCCACTAGTTCAAACGCTTGATGCATCCATTTTAACACTATTTTTCATTATTACGAGTGGAATAATAGTCGCTGCATTCGTTGGCTCTAGATTGAGCAAAAAAGAAAGTAAGATAAAAGAGCAATGAGGATTTACATTTAGTAAATACTGTTTTTATTATTAAACAAAAAATGCGTTTTATGAATAATTAAGAGGAATTGATAAATTAAAGTTTTTTTTAAAAAATATATAATAATAATAATAATTAATAAATTGATTCTAACTAATAAAATATATAATTATATTTATCTCATTTATTAATAATAGTCATTATTTCAAAAGTTTAAGTGCAAATTAATGCTAAAGAAACTTAGTCGAACAAAAAGATTGTATAATAAATATAAATAAAAAATATTTAAGAGAGTAGTGAATTAAAGGCGAAAATTCGAAAGTGGGAATGTATAAAAAGTACATGTACAGTACGTTCCTAAAAGGAAAGGAAAAAAAAGGAAACCGAAATATCAAATTAGGTGAAAGAACAAAAAGATTTCCTTTATTTCAGCATCATATTTATCACGAGAAGCATTGTTGATTTGATGACGAAACAAACTTTGGATTTTAAATGTTTTAGCAAAATGTCTAATCGCTTTCTCATCTTTCTTTTCATGTTATCCATCAAAGCTTTTATTTGTGATTTCCTATTTTTGAAAAAAACCGAATTAACAGCAGCACCTTCTGCGACATCAACGATGATTTGAGTGAAATTACCATCAAACTGAAGCACGACCAATTAAAACTTCATTTAGAAGGCTAGGTTTAACATATTGATTCATTAAATGAAAAATGGCAGGAGGATTTCCACAAACATATCATCAAGTGGAGGTTGATTAACTTTCAAAGGTCTTTGACATTATATTATCCTTTATCTTTGGTTCGTGTAATCGAGAACGATAGTTTTACAACTTTTTGTAATCCGAATTTAATTTTCGAGCAACGTTAATTTCTTTTTTGCTTAACTCGAAGAACCGGCATGTTCCTTTCATATACACCATAATAAAAGGTTATTAATTCTTTACCAAGGAGATTTTTTTTTATTTTGCACTTTATAATACCCGTAATTGTTACACGAGGTAATTAACTATCTTTGGACAATCCCAAGAGTAATTAACACAAAACAAAACCCTCGATTATAAATTATTACAACAAATAAAGCGTTATATTGATTGAATTTTTTCATTTGGGAACGAATGCAAAATATATCATTAAAAAATGTTTATTTCTTTAAGATTTCAAATAAAAGCAAAATAACAATAGTAATAATAAATGATCTGTAATTCTCTTGAGAGCATTCTATATCTTCTATCTATATATTTTTAATCGAGTAAAGATTTGTTTTATCCCATCGGTATTATGTGGAAATTTTATCACTTACTCCACTGCTTAAAACAAGTATTAATAATGAATTATAAATACGAATTTTAATAATAAAGCAATGTACATGTACTAGGAATCGACAAATAAACGATTTATTACGATTCAATTGTGTAGTTAGTGTAGTTAGTTATCATAAGCGGAGCATATATACAAGAGGAAGGTTTGAAAGTGTAATGTGGTTTTTTTAATTTAACAACAGAGACAACAGAGCCCCATAATTCTATCATATTTCTTTCTTTTTAATCAAATTTAAGATATATATATACTAAATAATATACTACGCATTTATGATAGTAAATAATGAAAATAATACAATTAAAATAAAATGAATAAATAAAAGAAATAATTAATGATTATTATATTGTACTTTGGCCATGGAGTAATTTTGTCACGGAGATAGTTTATTTAAAATATGATCGTGATATTACAATTTAAGCTATTAATTACATAATATTTACTAAAAATATTATATTATCCTACTAGTATTTTAAAGAATAATTATTAAATGTATATAAAAGCAGTATAATCGCGAAGTTGAATGTAATAGTTTTAATGTTTTATATATACATGTATTATTAAATATGCATAGCGGCTAAGGACTTTATAAACGATAACTTTGATATGATCACATGCGTTTAGGCCGATAAATGATAATGTAATTAAATTTACTAAAGTGTTCATTAAATTCATTCTGTTTTTACTTCCTGGTTATGGTTATTTTTTTATTTCTTGTTCATTTTGGATTGCTTCTTGCTCATTTTTTTATATAAATAGATTTAGTAACATTTGTGCGCGTGTGAATTATATAACGTTAAAGGATATAAAGTAAATGATAATTATGATAGCAAAGAATAATAATTATACCGTAACTTCATGGGTAATCTCTAATAACCCGTTACTATAAATAATCCCGCCGGTGATACGTCATACAATGAATCCAACAATAAAAATAATGATGATAAAAAGGACGACCGAATTAACAAGTATGTAGACATTTTGAAAGAAGTACTATTCGGAGAATTTTATCCCACAAGTTTGTGTTTCTAAAATGGGTACTTTGACATTTTTCAGAGAATAGTTTCTTTCTTCTGACCTGACACCTTAAGAGCTTAAGATTGTGGTAACATATTTTCTTTTTTTATTTTCTTTTTTTGAATACCTTACCTTCTTACAGGCATTGGGTTTTAGTAAGGTAAAAATTTATGGAAGTAAGTAGAATAGAAATTTCGTAATGTCATATTTGTCTTTGTAAAATAGTTTGGGTTGCTTGTATAGAGAAGATAAGACTTAATCGCACGAAGGTTTGAAGTAAAAGCCGTTTTGAAAGGGCGATGGGCATAACACCAAAAACGAGCGCAATTTATAATTAATTAGTGATCATATATATTGATCCAAAAATATTTACCAATGTGTCATCATTTTCAATTGTATTTTCACACACTTCTTTTTTATTTTTTTTTTTTTTAGAAATAAATAATTCTTCATTATTGCACAGGAATAATTTCCAGGGTAAAAGACAATTTTACTCACAGTATTAGCTAAATATAAAAAATTGAATTTTTCAAATCTTTTAATAATAATTTTTAATCATTCAAAAAAAAAAAAAAAGGTTTTCAAAACCATTTTCGATCGATATAGTTACTAATCCTCGAATTAAGTGCAAGTCATGTGTGAAAATTGTTATAGTTTCGAGGAGAAAAATGTACAATCAACTAAACCCATACGATAATATTAATTGTTTTCTATTTAAGTTTAACTTATATCGATATTTATACACATTTAAATAATAAATAATATAAACGAAACTTTCAATTTCCTTTGTAACATGTTAACCACTTCAATAACCAATTCAATTCGCTTACAGAACTTTAAAAACAATTTAACGATCATAGGATTCTTATTTTTATTTTTATTTTTATTTTTTTATCCTGTCTGTCTTATAGTAATGTATAATACATTAATAAACAAATACGGGAAGCAATGTCAAGCAAACTTAGAATTAAAAATTATTCAGGTAGAAGCAAGCTATAATAAGAATTATGATCAATATTGTCATTTATTAACACCTGCTGAAATTATTAATTATTATTTCTGTTAACTTACAAATGTTGGACAATATTACAATCAATGACGAAATCAGTAGAATTAATTATAGCTTGTTTGATTTTGAAAGTTTATTATATTACATTAAATCTTTTGTCAAGAATTCATTTCTCTGATCTTTTTCGAACGTTTTAGATAAATTGCTAGCATAATTATTGATTACCAAAATTAGTAAATCTTTAAATATATACAATACTTCGTCACCGCATGGTTCTGGACTTCACTTCTACTGTAAGCCTGCTTATCACGATAATTTGCAGTTTTAATAATTTGTAAATTTATTTCATAAGGAAAATGATTAAATGTTGCAATTTTATGAAACACGAAAATATGTTAACAGTACATTTTTATCTTGTGACGGAGTACAAATCTAATAATATTCAAGAATGTGAACAGTTATATTCCCTTATAGCATTTTTAGTTTGTTATTTCAAGAACTTGTTAATTCATTGTGTAATTCTGAACAAACTGAAAACGTAAGTTTGGTTCATCACCTTAAGTTACGAAATTAAAAACAATCTATAAAATATTGTAAATGCAACTGCTTTGAAATAGGTTATATTAACGTCACAAATGCTAAAAAAAGATACCGAAAAAAAACTAGTTATCATCAAATTAAATCTTGATTGAAATTAACTAATCATCAATCAGATGCGACAATTTCCACAAATATTATTTATGACCATATCCATCGTTGCAACAGGTGTTCGTATTTCTGATATTCTTCCATTAGTGAAGAAGTGAATAATAGATTCAAGATTGCGTTCCAAAAATTTTTCAATGGGTTAATGGGTAGTAAGCCTTTCTTCACTCATCAGGTAGATTAGTAGATTGGACCACATAATTCCACATAAGTATGTATTGTAACATGTGGAATTCTATGCGTAATTTTGTGAAAATTTTCACATATTTATTTATTATAGTCAATTACAATATAAGAAATTTTTATTTTATTATATACTTAATATTTTTTTTTGTCATAATTAAAATATTATTCAAAAAAAGAAACTTACAAATAATGAATTATTATGCTCAAAAAGTGGTATGATATGAATTAGATCTGCAATTCATTCTATAGGAATTATATTATATTCATCATACTCATCAAGTAATTATATGTATAAATAACTATATTTCATATATAAATCTTCTGATTTGCATTTAAAGTTAACCCACTAAATTATTTTTTTAATTTAACCCATAAAAAAAGAAAATTATCAGTTTTATTTTTTATAATATTATGCTATTCAATATGTATTAATCTTATTTGTACTTAATTTTATTGCAATATCTAAAGGATTTGTCTAATATTTTGTCATTATTTGGCATTTATCATTTAGTTATTTACTTTTACAAAAAATTTTAGCAATAATTTTAGAGAATTGCAAAATTCTTTAAAGCTTCATTAGGTATTTACAATTTTTAAGAGTTTTGCAATTTTTATCTTCTAATAATAAAATCATTTTAAAGAAATAATTGAAAGATCATTTTAATTAGAGTAATAAAATATCATTCTAAAAGAATATTTCAAAGTATCATTTTTTAAGAATAATAGAAAATTATTCTAAAAGAACAATACAAAATAATCATTCTAATAGAATAATAATACAT